TAGAGCTGGTCCAGTTCCTGAACAACATTTCCTTGCCAAGTGAAACATATGGAGATTCTTTAATGAGTAGGCTGCGTCTGTCGTTTTTACAGTCAAGAATGCTGGCGTTTTTTCTGCCAATGATATGCTTACACTGTAACGAATATGCTGCAATCCAGCAATGCCCTAGACGGTTTTTCCTAACAGCATCTTGGTGTTCTTTTATTCTCACTTTAGGGTCTATATGATTTACCTATGTAGATCTGATCGCTGTTTTCACAGTCAATCTGATGAACCGCGTCAGATTTGTCATGGTTAACTCTGGAGTATCTGACTTATATAATTGAAGAACCCGGAAACTTTGATTTTGGAGATTATGTTTAAAGGCGGGAGAAATGCCACAATAGTACGGAATGAAGGTGGCTCCTCAGGATTTCTCTTGGGATCGTATGTTGGACGATGAAGGTAGGAATTTAAATGAGGGATTGGGTATCCGTTTTACGAAACATCTTATTCAACGACTTACACTTCTTTTTAAGGATGCCAGGTTATAAGCAATGCCGTCTGACCGTGAGTCTCGTAGTTTTAGTGATATTTGAGAAGACGATACGGCGCGTGTTGGGGGTAGAATGTAACGTCCTGTTCGAGTTTTGTGGCTTTCGAAAAACAGTGAAGATGAATCGATTAGATTGACAGTTGTCCAATCAAATGATGAGAAACGGCAGTTTTTAGTCTTTTTCTGTTTCAACTGTTATGGTCATGCGCTTCTTAAGGTTTCTAGCATTAAAGAATTCAACGATGTCGTTCAGAAAAGTGGATGAATGAGGATGCAAAATAAAAATGTCGTCTGCATATGAGAAGGACATACGCAGAAGTTCTCGGTTTCAAGCGAATTCATGAAAATTTCAGTCGAGGAAACACTGGTGAGGAATCCGATTGGTACTTCATATTTATGGTTATGAATTTTTTCATCGAAGTTGAAGAAAATATCACAGGTTATAACATCCAACAATTGGATTAAGTCACAAAATAGGTTACTTGGATAGAAACCAGCTTCTTCCCGTGCTTCTTGGGTATCTTTCAGTTTCTTGGCGACAATATCGAACAGCAATGCTCTCTCAGCATGATACAGAGCAATGCTATCAAGAGATGCCATGCTTAAACAGAAGTTACTCTATGAAGTAATATAAGCAATGAACTAAAGGAAAGATGTTCGATATAGCAGAGATGGTAAAGCAGAACATGAAGGCTTGTAGGATGGCTGAAGATCTAACGAACGTTCAGAAAATTTGGAAGAAAATGAGCTGTGAAACGGATCAGTGAGAAAGAAGAAACATAGAAAGATGTTTGTCATGCTTCAGCAGTGCATTCAATATAAGCAATTTCAGGCAAATGTCACATAATTAAGTCGCGATATTTATGCAGCAAAATGTGCATTGCAGTCGGTGTAAAATTGTTCGAAGACGTGCATTTGCTTCCGATACGTCGGCAGTCAGTGGACAGTTCCAACCAGTGAAAAATTTTGGCGAACTTGTCAATGTTTTTCTGGTTTTGGAATAGGGCAATGAACTCAAATGTAACGCGCATGTTGTTGAACTTATCTGACAGAGATTCGTAGGAGGCGGCGTCCGTTGGTTTCTGACATTCCTCTAGTGCCGAACTGTAAAATTAGCAGCTTGCAAATCGCCAAATAAATTTTGAGACTAACTGAGTAGTTGATTTCTTCCTGCTCGGTTAGAAAAGACATCAACCAGCAGCTACATCGACTTCTTAAGGCTGCTGATTTGACAGCTCTTGAGGGATTCAGCTACCCAAATTTAACCTACATTTGAACTGCAGTGTAGGAGAACCGTAACTTTGTGCCAGTTTAGTTATTCCATCATATTCCTAATTTTTCATATTTTTTCTTCTACTTATTACTTAAATTGTTTTAAAAAGCTACGACTTTCCCACATTTCAAACATTACATGACTGACTTGCCTTTTCGAATTTCATTTCGTGCTTGTAGTAGAAACGATTCATTTTTAAATTGATTGATTTGGCAAGAGTCTGAATTGCTGACTAGTGTTTCCCATGGTTGCAGACTAGTCATCGGTAGATAAAAGCAACCAATCGATAGTTGCTTTTATAAATAGTAATTCATTTCGAAAATAGCCAAAGGATATTTACAAGGCACATTAAGTTGTAAGGTTTGAGAAATGATCGGGAAAGAATAATTGCCGCCTGTATTATTAACGGGAAACCTGGGAACTTTATAAACCAAATTAGTAAATATAAGTGCATTGCAAAAGGCGTCTATACTGTAAAAGTTAAGTACTGCTAAAGCCAGCATGCAATCGTTTTTGTAGATGCCTACAAAAATTACAATAATCCCCATGAATATAAACTATCTTTGGAAGCGCATAATAATTTCATGATTATACAAGACTAATAAGCGGAGATATTTCACTAGAAACACTTTTTAGTGAAAAAGTCAAATGTCAACTTTGCCTAACAGAGACGTTCCGGGAAAGACACTGAGGCTGAAGTATTGGAAATGAAATGTTTCTACCTCAGGCCGAACTCCATTTTGATGCAAAAATCTACTTGCAGTGTTTGCCGTTCGGTTCGACAGCAGAGGTAACAGCATCAGGTTGTTCTTTAAACATTTGCGGTCTTCCGCCAGGTGCTCAGGGTTTCGCAGTATGCGGGTATTCAATATATTTGAGTCAATTGGCCCGCGGCCATGTTAATTTGCCACTTGCTTACTTCACTGTTTGGTCACTAGCCATATGACTTCCCAAGGAAATCTGTCGTACGAATTTCCCTTTGACATTCTGATACTTGTCTAAAACAGTCCAACCGTGACTTCGCAGTCTCGGAAATGGCAGGCTCACAGGCAGTCATTATAAGAAGTTGTCGACTGCTATTATGAGAAACTTGTTATACTTCGTAAATGAGAAATCATGCGAAGAATACTAATTCAACGGCCCGTATTCAGGATTACACTCTCTCAATCAATATGCAACGCCCATGATCATAAGTTAAGGTTGACTCGTTATTTCATTTGAAGAATGAGGGCGTCGCATTGGCGTTCAGCTGTTTAGTATTTACTGTAGGCCGGTTAAAATTCTGCATTGATGGAATCGTGCATTCATTTTCAAATCTGTTCCCTCAGAGATGCTTGTATATCACCAAATGCCGTAGCTACCCTCCACTAAAGTGCACAGCGGATTGAAACGGCTCTTGTCATCATATCAGCAACCTGGATTTTGCACTGCTGATCTTCATTTCTACCTCATCTTATGCGACATCGAACGTATCCAGTGATCGTTGGAGATCAGCATGAAAGAGAAACGAAAGCGACGAAATTATTCTCAAACAATAAGTGACTTAGTCCAACCTCTCAACTGTGACCTTTTCTGTGCCTAAACTACGTTCGTTGACCCAGTTCATAAATTTTGTGAACTTAAGAGTAGGGTTGGCTGCCTAAGAACAAAATCGAGAATACCGCTCAACACTTTTTGATGAACCCTCTCGTTTCGATTTTAAGGTGTCCATCGTTAACTGCACGACGATCGATGACTTACGACAGACACAATACAGCCAAGGATTGAATGCTTTTAGCTTTTTTTCTACCCTTCATCAATTCCGGGATGGGAGATCATGGTAGAAGTAAGCGTCAGCATTCAGCCAGTTATTCATTCATAGTCATTTACTTGCGTAAGACCAATCACGTGTTAAAATTGCCATTGAGGACGATTGTGCTCTGAGCCAGATAATTGCTGAAACATTTGTACTTATTAATATTAATCCGCGTTTGGAAAGTTGGCATGATGTAGAAATTTATGCTACATTCTTAAATCGTGTCTGAACTTAGTAGCTAGTAAAATGTTCATTTCTTTTTTCAATTTTCTATCAGGAATTCACCTGGCGATATTTAGGGTGTTTTCTCCGGCTTAGAGCGAGCAGTATTTACCGTTCAACCAGTGGTCGATGTGATGAAGCAATATGGTCCAAGAGTTTCCTTGCTTGTAGTAGTCCAAAGCGACGTTTATGCAGGCTACGGCTTCATCGTATTTTACATCCTATAGTGCATATGCTCGAAATCACGTCAATGTTAACACCATCGGATATACCGCAACCCATAGCCATATACAATAATAGTTTATGGGCCTACTAGCAAAATCGCTAGTCTTCGACACGATGCTTTACAAGTGCTTATCATACCTCGTCTTATTGAACAACTGAGTAGAACACGTTTGCATAGTTGATGGAGACAATGCTCAAAGGTCATCTGTATTCTCTCGAGCCCTCTCTTTGTTTCTGATAACTACGTAGAAAGGAGGAGGTTTGCACTGCATTAAATGGCAGCATCTCCAAAAACAACCTATGAAACTATGTAAAGACCAGCAGATTACATTTTGCATGGCTACTGAATCAGGATTTCATGGATGATGCTCTAACTGCTTAAAATTGCTTGCACTATCGATTATAGAAACAACACAAACACACAACAGGTATACGCCTTTCATGACTATCCCATTGAATCGGCAGCTATCAGCCGGTCGTACTCTTCGTCCACGGTCGTAACCGCTTCTCGCCTGGCAGCACCGAAGCCTCGCCGGTAAATTCCTTACTTAAGTGAATTAGCGGTTGAGTAAAATTCTGTCTGTGTCGGGTTTCAAATCCGGCACCTCGAAATTCGATGCTCACATCTTCGCCACTGTACCACCGAGTACGTAACCGCGGATGAATAAATTTCATAGCGAATAAAAACATGTAGTAAATAGATCTTCACGTCTAATATTTCTTGCAAGACGCGTATCGCTACTGCTATCCATTTGAAATGTCGCTGAAAACTGGGATACGATTTATTTTCAAGTATTGGAAGAACTAACCTCGTAGATCAAATCAAGTGACAGTTTAAGCCGGATTTGCGCTGGCGCAAAAAAGTACATTACCATTTATATAAGCCTTTGTCTGGAAACCACCGCATTCTCACCTCACCTTCTTCACTTCCCGTCGCCAAGTTTGCAAACATGCTGCGTTTCTTCGCGTTGCTGCTTCTCGTTGGCTACTTGGAGGCGAGAACCATAGGGGATACCATAGAAGGTGACACACGTTTTCTCTACTCACTGTTGGCGCCACGAATTTTCTAGGTGGAACTAGCGATACCATGGATGAAAGTCAATCTATAAAGGTCAACGTTGGACCAGGAGGCGGACTTTTAAATTTGAAACAACCTGGCTGCACAACGTGCGTAGAAGGGCAGCCGATACCGGTGCCGATAGAAGGAATGCCAATCGGAGGTATGCCTATTTCTGAATATATTTTATTACTACTAGCATGTAAATTCAGTACCGTTCGGGCAACCTGTTCAAATACCAGTCGAACAGCCTATGCCAGTACCTGTACCACAGCCTGTTCCGGTGCCCGTTCAACAGCCTGTTCCAGTGCCCGTCGTACAGCCTGTTCCGGTGCCTGTTCAACAGCCTGTCCCAGTGCCCGTCGTACAGCCTGTTCCTGTCGCACAACCTGTTCCTGTCGCTCAACCTGTTCCTGTCGCACAACCTGTTCCTGTTGCACAACCTGTTCCCATTGTACAACCTATTCCAGCTCCAGTTGGACCAGGACCGATCGTGGCACCTCCATGCTCAGCTTGTGGCAGTAATAAAGGTTCGGTTGTGGCGATAAGCAGTTAAAAGAAGCCATTCAAGAACTTAAGGATCCATTTTATCGTGCGTGGATCTTCTCAACTTGGGAATCAATCGTTATGAGATATAAACAGTTCCATCCATCTATTAAAGATATCATTCTTGACTGACGGTTGTTGAGTTCTTGCTCTCTGTGACTGGACAAAGGAAGAAAAATAGACTGGCACAGCATATCCATCACTAACAAATTAGAACGATGCTCAACAGTACGAAGGAGCTACAATATCACAAAAGTTGTAATACTTATGTTTAACCAGCTGTCCAGCTCTCATATGACGGATGTGGCCTCAGAAAATTGCTTTTGCTAGACAAGTTCAAGGTTAAGATCAAGTAAAGAGTGAAAACCTCATTTATATTTTCTAGATCATGGGCTAATTTAATTAAAATTATGACCACGAATTATGAAATTATGGAACAGCAAAGAACTTAATTAAAGTTAAAAGACACGCTATTTCAATGAATATGAACTTGTTACTGTTTTTCATAGTGAAGAAACCGTAGTAATAAACTTAGTTTGTGCAGGTGCAGATGTTAGTCAGGAGCCATTAAAACATGATTTATTAATATGAAACGTAAAATATGCGGCTCTCTGGGAACAGCCGGACACCAGTCTTCCAGTCTGGTTTTCGCAGCTGATCTTCAGGGTCCCTGCTGAGAATTTTGTATGTTGAGACCGCAGTTGGTTGTTCGCTTTATTCGAACAGCCTTTCAGCTCTTGGACGAATTCATTCGCACAACAAAATTAGCGTCGAAAGAAAAACACCCATGAACAAATATATCGAATATGCCATGTGAAAACCATTTTGAAACACTTCTATGCTGTAGCTTGATAGTCACTGTTTTACGCTGTACTAATAAGTTGTTTAATTAGTATCTTTTTTGTGAAATCACCGTTCAACAAACACTCCGATTCTAAATGTCTGCCAAGAGTGGCTGGTACGCCTTGAACCTGTTGAAGCAAGAAATCAGATTTCTACAGCTGTAATTTCGCTACAAGATTGCCGCAAATATAGCGGAACACTCCTGATCAAAGCACATGATTGACTTAACACTCATTCTGTCGCTGACAGAGCAAAATCACTCTCAACAAGCTGCAGACCATCGACCGCAGAAAAGTTACTTCGCTGAATTATTTAGGCTCTCTCACACTGTTTCTTTCCATGACGCATAGTTCCTCCAAAACCTGATTTTACGGCGTATTGCACCGCCTCCTTGTTCCGCTGGCATTTATTGAGGCAATGGCCCTGTGGTATTCGAGCACAATGTCAGATGCATTTCACATCACTTTTTCTGCTAAAGCCCCCTCGCATTTATCACGAACGTGATAGAAGCAAGGAACAGCGCCATACGCCGTAAAACCTGGTCTTGGAAGAGTTATGCGTTGTTCAATACGCTTCGACATACGATAATATTTCATTATTTATTATTCATCTTCAAATAGTGTCATAAATACACTTTTGATCTTAAACGAATTGCTTGAACGGAATACAATAGAGAAGTATAGCAGTATTGAATTTTACATGAAAGTGTTCTATTTTTATAAGTTTTTCTTTATGTTCAGTGAATAAAGCTGCCCCCTTCCGTTCCAATGCATCACGTAAAATTTGATGACTCACTGCACGATAACAGACCATTAAGCGGATGCCTGACATTATATATGTTGTAATAGATACAGTTGCAAGCAGGCTCATACGTTAGACCAACGCAGTAAATCAGATGACTGAGTGCATAACATCTTGAAACTGAAAGTGTCCACTCCCAGCTCGTACTGACGCTTTCAAATACATTTTTTATAACAATCGTATGTTCCTTCGCCGTTACAGACACTATCAGATTAGTCAATAAACGATGGATGCGATCATGTAACTCTGATATGCTCATGCTTGCCTACATGTGGTGATAAAGTTAGATTTTCTCACCCTTGATTACAAATGTATGGTGTTCTACGACATGAATAAACAATGCTAACAAATGTGCATCAGAACGATAACACTCATCGCACGTTACTGACACACTAATGAGGTAATATTGCATGGATGGAGGGGTCGCAGCAAGGTCTCCTTGCGTATAGAAAAGACTGACTTAGGAATAGTTCTGCTTCAGCGAATAAACCCTTACCCGCAAGCGCTAAAATTTCCTTTGATGTTCTTGTAACAATCACGCGGTCATTAAACTAGAAAAAGTTAGTCATGACTTCTGTATCAGTCTATTTCTGACAAAAGTCGAAAACTCGACACCAGAGCAAATTCATTTTTGTAGTCCAAAGCAAAAACCAATCGATACATCTGAAGCCCGCAACGTACGTCGTGAAAAATATTCACATTCGAATCGACTTGCAACAACAGTGGTACTTTCATTATAACGCTATTCGTATATTTATACATGAACATAAATCCTATAAAGCATGATTAACTCTTTTGCAACAATCACAAAGAAGTGATTCACTGGCCATAACAATGCAATGTGTGCAGAAACGCACAAGAACTCACCGAAAGCAATGGCAAAAACTCACCAAAGCTGACTCTTGGGAGAAGTTCGGTAAGGTGGTGCCGGAGTCAAATTTTCAGAGGACAAAAAAGTAATCTGGCAGACAATCCGCCGCCTTCGAAGTGAAAAGAAGGGTAGTCTAAGAATCTTGAAAGAAGAGTCTGGACAACCTCTGACCGAAGATGAGATAGTGAAGATATTGTTCAGCGAAGGAAGCAGTAGATTGAGGAGCTCTTTAAACCTTAGCAGCCGCGAAACACTCGCATGAAGAATAGCAGTGAACGGATATTAGTTTCTCTATGGATGAAATCAAACAAGTTGTGACAGGCTGAAAGGCTTGAAAAGTGGAAGTGCTGAAATCAATGAAATACGCCCACCCTCAAATGCTTAAAGCATCAGACGAACATGGAATGTGTCTACCAAGTTGCAGTGGTAACGGGAATGACACAAGTGGACTGCAGAACGGGGGTTGTTGTAATCCTGTTCAAGAAGTGAGATCAAAAGGAGTGCATCAATTATAGGGACATTACCTTATTGAGCACCCGCGTAAGATCTACATAAAGGTGCTAGAAAGAAGGTGATGCGGAATAAATGACTCCAGGATACAAGAAGAGCAGTGTGCCCTCCAGTCTGTCGAAGCACACCTGACCATATATTCGCCCTAGGCCAGATTGTTGAAAAATCGTGGGAGGGTACATGTGCTTTTTGTACCTAGAAAAAACTTATGAGCATGTCTGCAAAAATATTGGATCGATGACCAGTTTTGCTACGAGCCATATAATCACTATATGCTGATGGTGAAGTGAAGTGCAGTGCTGTGAACTGTTAGCTGTGAATTAAATTCGAATTGATGTTTAATCGAAAGGCAATCCTCACTGATCTTATCATATTCTTTTCCCATGCCCAAAAAGCACATCTAATCCGAATGAATAAACTC